TCCCCTCTGCTGTGCCTTGAGTCTCTGGGGTTTTTACCAGGAAATTAATTGCGGTCTATTCTGAGTCAGGTGAGTCTGCCAGAAGCAAGATCTTAAATAAACAGAGTAAGAATATATCTAAACTATACAAAGGTAAGCAAAGATTTAGCTGGATTTGTGTATAAAAAGCTAAATAAATATATAAATAAAGGGCCGACCCCGTGGCGCACTCGGGAGGGTGCAGCGCTGGGAGCGCAGGAGCGCTCCTGCCACGGGTTCGGATCCTATATAGGGATGACTGGTGTGCTCACAGCGCTCACTGGGTGAGTGCGGTTTGGTCGGTCTCAAAAAAAAAAAAAAAAAAAGGACAAAAAGTATATAAATAAAACCAAAACAAAAGAAAACTAAAGCTTTTGTTTCCAAAATCCCTGGTTTCAATGACTATGCTGTTAGAACCAACCAGGTAATTTCTGAATATTCCCTCTTTCAGGTGCCATGAAGCCTTGACCTCAGGCAGTAATTTCAAACCCACTGCAAGGACAGGGCCCCACTAGTACATTTTCCAATACCCTTTCAGATGCAGGTAAAACCACACCTCTGGCTAACATTTGCCCTTTTGCAGCCACTAATCAGCAAAATCACTTACTTAGTAACTATTTACTGTCACTTAGAATGCTTCTCTTGAAGTCACTTGACTAATGTTTATTTTATAGCCACTTAGAAATCCAGCCAATTATTTGCATCCTAGATGCTCTTAACTTATACTTGCAGAAAGCCAAGAAGTGTTAATAAATAGAAATTCAATGTCATAGTGCCAACATCAGTGTAGGTTTGCATGTCATTTATGAATTGTGTTCAGCTGCTTATAACAGAAACAGGCCATTGTCTCTGAAAATGATAGAGGTTTAGTTTCCTCTCATGTAAAAGAAGTCTGAAGAAAGACACAACCATCACAATAATTTGTTGAACTTGCAAAAGGAGAGAACAGAACTGAGGCCACCAGAGGTGGAAAAGGGGGAGGAGGGCTAGCAAGAAATTGGTAAAGAGCCTCAAAAAGATAATTACATTGTGAAATGTTGAATATACTAATTATCCTGATTTGAGCATCCCATATTGCACACAGGTATTGATATTCAACTCTGTACCCCATAGATATGTACAATCATGTTTCAATTAAAAAAGAGAGTGAGCAAATGAGTACAAGGGTTAATGTTGTTAAGAGCCAGGGTTCACACTGTGAACACACTGTGGAAGAAGGGACATATAATTGGGGAATGAAGGAAGGCAAGGAAGAACCCTGTGTGAATGGATTGAATTAAAGATATTGGTATAAATTCATGATTTCTAAAATATGAATACATAAATGCATGCATATGTGTATATGTATATTGCTATGGGTTGAATGTGCCCCCCAAAAGTTTGTGTATTGGAAACTTGATCCTTACTGTTAACAGTGATAAGAGGTAGAAAAATCTGATTATGGTATTTGAAACATGAGGCCTTTAAGAGGTGATTAGTTTGTGAGGACTGTGCCCTTGTGAATATGTTGATCCATTCATGAAATAATGGGGTAATGGTTTAATTGGTTGTCATGGGCATGATTCTGATGGCTTTATAAAGAAAGCAAGTGAAAAGGTTAGGCCTCTCACTCTTGTAATTCTTGCAATGTGATACACTCTGTCACTGCAGAGAGTTACCACCAAGAAGGAGGCCCACACGAGATGTGCCCCCTGGACCATGGACTTCCCGGCCTCTGAAATAAATTCTGTTTCTTTGTAAATGACCCAGTCTCAGGTATTCTGCTATAAGGAACAGAAATGGGCTAAAACAGATACGTATGTCTCTCTATATATTTATGTGTATGTATATTTGTATGTATGTCTGCGCATATGCATGTATGCATGCATATATTTCTGAACTCTGTTCACTGCGAAAAAAAAAAAGTCTGAAGGCAATTCAAGTTGTCATCAATGTCCCAAGACACTACTATCTTTCTACCCTCTCATGTTTTATTTTTCTCAAAGTTGCCTGGAGGTACATAAGAACCATAGCAGCTCCAGCCAACATGCACATTCCAAGCAGCAGAAAAGAAAAGGAGACAAAAGGCAAGAAGAATGCACTTCCAAGTAAATCGGTCCCCTTTAAACTGGTTCCCAGAAGACTCGCCCAAGTCCTTCCACTTAAAGCTCACTGGCCACTCATGTAAAGGCAGCTAGAAAACCTAATTTTTGGCTGCGTACTTCATCACCCCCCAGGTCCTGTTTAAACAGAAAAGGAAACTGGCTATTGAGCAGACAACTTGCAGTTTCTGCCACCACAGGCAGAAGAAATAGAGTCATTCAGAACGTAAGAATGTAAACACATTCAGATCAGCTTATTTCTTATTCTTATTTCTTTATTTCTATATGATGCTGATCAGATTATTCTTCCAATCTTCTCAGAGGCTAATTCAAACCTTTGCCGTTGTCCTCCATACCTTGTGTTGAAAGTCACAGACGAAACGAGCCACCAGATAGGAACAAACTCACACCACCGTCCTCCAAATCTGTAAAGGTACCGATCTCTGAGACCATCCTGACTTTGTCCTCCCTCACCCTGCGGGAGTGCTGAACTTCCACCCATTGAAGGATAACCTCTTCCCCTGCAACCCCTTGGGCCCCAACCCCCCTCGGGTCCTCATGTACACCCTTTTCCTTCTCCCAACCAGCTCCTCCCTTTAGTTCGTGTATCCACTGTGGCCCTGCAATCCTGGACTCCCTCTAGCTATCACTTGTCAAAGTCAAACTCCTTGAAAGAGTCTCCAGTTTTCCCATTTTTGCATGCTGGTCTCCATTTGTCACACCAATGAACATACTCTCAGTAAGTCTTTGCTAACCTGATTGCCAACTTCGACCATTATTCTTAGTCTCTAGTTCACTCCTCCCAACAGCAGACACTATGGACCATTCTTCCTTTTGAAACTCCTTTCTCTCAGGGTCTATGAATCTTGTTTTCTCTGTCTCTCCTCCTTCCTCATGGGTCTGTTCTATTTTGATTCTTCCTTGTCTTTTGCCTGCTTCTGAAAAGCTTCTGTTTCCCAGGCTTCAGTTTTTCATTCTCTTCTCACTCTCCCTGCTCTCCCATGGCGACCTCGACCACGTCCACTGACACAGTGATGACTCTCAAATCTTTACTCCAAGCCACTCACTCTCCTGAGCTTCAGAGCCAGATTTCAAAATTTCCCACAAAATATGTACACTCAGATGACCTACAGACATTTCAAGTTTAATGTTCTAGAACCAAACTCATGATCTTTCCTCCTTATTCCTTGCGTCAAGAAACAGCACCACCTGTTACCTGGACCATTAACTGAACATGATCCTAGACTCCTCCTCACCCTCTACATCCAATCACCAGCTGAGTCTCATAGAGTCGCACTCCCTTGACACGTCCTGCATCTCTGTTCCCTCCCTTCTGTTGCCATGGATACTGACTCAGTCTAGGACCTGGTCACCTCTCATTTCCACCTTGGAACTGTCTCCCCCTCCAATCCTTCCCTCAGACATCTGTCAGAACAATTTCTATAAAATAGAAACCTCAACTTCACACTCGACTTTGAAACCCTTTGGTGGCTCCCCATTGTCTACAGGTAAAGTGAACAATCTCAGCATTGGATGCATGCACTGGCCCTTTCTATGTCCGCAGCCTTGTTTCTACTAATTCCCCACCCCCTCAAAAACCATTCTGTATCTGTACTCACTCGCATTTCCCAAACACACCAGGGCGTCCCGTATCTCTGTGCCTTTGTACATGCAGTTGCACTTTCAGAAACATCTTCCCTCCCTTTTTGGCCTAGAAAACTCCTACCCATCCTTGGGTAATCATTACATTAAAGCCTCATGTAACCATCCCACCAGAGCAAAACAGCTTGCATCTTGTTCTGTATATCCCTGTGAAAAGCAAAACAGCATCCACTTTGCACCATGATGTAATTCTTTGTTTTCAGAACTGCATCCTTGCTAAACTATAAGGTCCTTAAGAGCAAGGGCTGTGTCCTTTGTGTTTCTTACCATCATATCATCATCACTTAGCATGATGCTATGAGATTGCGATTAGAATTGACAATTGCTATAGTTATTAAATAATTCCTATCAGAATACAAAGACAAATGAATGCCTGCAATTTAAATCTCAATATTTAAAGCTCATAATAACAAAATGAAAACATTTCTGTAGGTTTAAGATTTTGTGGAAGAAATAAGAGCTCTATAAACAGGAAAGAATTTTATCATTTAGTATGGTTTACACTGAAGTCAAGGGGGTGGACACCTGGGTAAATGGTGTTGCCATTGACTAAGGTCCATCCCAACTTATGATTAATCAAATCAATTCTGATACAATTTTGAACAAGCTGTGTCCGTACACTTTAACAACAATTCTGATTTTTATTCTGATTCTAAGTCACCAGTTCAGCTGGGTATGGCAGAAATGGCACAACCCTTGAATATCAGAAAAAGCAAGGTCTGAATGAAAGTTCGATCTTTTCCTTGCTTTGTGACAGAGACGTCGAACCTCCCTGAAGTTCAGTTTTATCAGTGATCATCAGGGTAGCTGTGGCAGTTCACCCAAACATGTCACACTCGAGCACCCAGTCCATAGTGATGCTCAATAATGTTTATTTCCTCCCTCCTTATCAAATAAAATTTATTTTTCTACATTTTTATCTGAGCATCTCTTTGCAAAAATTACAAAAGCCTCTCCCATTACCAAACTCTTCTTCCATGGACTGACAGCCTAGTGATAGCTTCTCCAGCCGAAGAACTCTCATCAACTTTTAGGTTTTCTTTTTAAAGAGAAACATCTATTGTCTCCTTTTCGTAGCTAAATCAAAACAAAAGTGATCAACTCAGAAGAATAGATAAAAACACTGATTTACCTTAAATGCTAACCCGTTGCCACCAGTTGCTTCGAACTGAAACTATGGACGCTCTCTCCCGCACCTGGGAAAACCGGTCCCCTCCCACGCCTTCTCCTCCCTCTTGCCTTTCGTCCTCAGATGTCCTGGTCCACCCTCTCAGTGCTAATTGGATGGCCTGGGATCACTGCTGCACACTCACAGCCTGGTTGGCTCAGCTTATTGTCAATCCCTATTCTGGCCCTGCCTTTTCTCAAGTTTACACTCCTGTTGCCTAGGAATCCTGGTGACAGTGCAAGCCCAAGCTGTTTGCCCTGGGAGAGAAGCCAGATGGAGTTTTGCTGGCATTTGTTTGGTTTCTAGAACAGCACCAAAATATGCCCCCTGTGTTTTATAAGGTCGTATTCAGCAAATTGTCTTACTTCTTTCAGGTGGCCCTTCTGCCTTTCTTTTGTCTCCAGAAGGTTTACTGCTAGGGTGCCTTATTACCAGGTGAGACATAAAACCACAGGCAGGCGTAACTAGAGGAGCATGCAGGTGTAATTAGAGGTGATTCGGTGTCCTCCCTCCTCCTCTGCGTTCACATGCTTATAGGACGCCATTTCTGCTGTTTCCATCCTTAGTTTCTTCTCCTCTATTCTCTTTTCTTTACCTTTCACTACTCTTTATTACACATGATCCTTGGCAAATAGTTTGCTGGAGAAGAAGCGATCTAGTGGCCTTGTTTAGAGAAAAATATCTAAATCATGATCTCTTTTGTTGTGCAGCTGTGACATCCACGCTACCCTTGCCATCCCCTGCCCTATGCTCCCTTCCATTATGGAGTAAGACAAAGAACCCACAACTACAACTATGAAGACCTGAGTTCCACTTTCTGTTCTGCATCTTACATCACAAAGTATCTTCAAAAAGTTCACGGAAGGATTTGTATTATCTTTTAATTCAATTTTTCCATCAACTTTTTGAAGTACCCTTGTAAATCTCAGGCAAGTGTGGTAACTGATTTCTCAGATCTCTAAAGTGCACATCATATCTTCTTGTCAACTTCTCAGACTTGTCTTCAAGGTCAAGGGGATGATGTTCTCTGTGAATTTTAATGAACACTGACACTGGTTGAGCGAATTTCTGATAGAGTATAATCTGAGGGGCAAGAAGAGGCCACTTATCCCAAAATATCTCCTTTGTCTTTCTGTTTGGGTTAAATGTTATTTCCAGAAAGCCCCTGCCTGTGGTTCATGACATCTACCAAGTAACAAGAAAGTGCCAGCTCTGGCAGGGATGCTTCCCACCTCCACCCCAACATAGTGCTGAGTGCTTTCTCCACAGGGCATGAACCATTTCATCCAAAAACAATCCTCCTTGCTACAGCTAATCTGGTGGTATTGAGCTGTGTCATTTCACTTTCACTAAGTGAAATTACAAAGCTAAACTAATGAGCTGTTAAGGAACATCCACTTGGACAATATGCACCACCAACAACAGATAAATCCACCTTTCAATTACTCAGTTAGACTGTGGAAAGCCAACCAAGAGCTCTTAGAGGACCTGGAGAGAGTCGGATTCATCCTTCCATCTTCCAAAGTGCCCAGCACAGCACCTTGTACAAACATGAAATCAATCAAGATGGATCAAATCAAATTGTTGAACTTGGTAAAATGCATTTATATTGAGGACATTTAAAATATGATATCTGCTTTTCAGAAATAGCTACTTCCTTGTACTAAGTAGTACTTTGCCTAAGACACCAAGTACTACTTTTACTTTCTTTTATGTGGCTAATTAGTGACATTTAAATAAATAACATAGCCATTTCACAAAGACCTAAATCTAAGATGTGACAAATGAAAGAACAGAAGATTGATGTGGGGGGAAATCACATCTACAGAGCATTTAGAGTACAGAGGCACACAAAACCAATATGTGGTTGTGGCTGGTTGTAATGTAGAAATATATAAGCAGAAGAATAACTACATAATGTAAAGAAACATAAATGACATATCGAACTTCATTTGGGGATCTTAAACATGCATTTAAATATATGTATCTCATATGTAAAGCCTTAGTGTGCATCACGTTTCATATATAAGCATTTAAAGCTCAACAAATTAAATATTTTGCCTGTGTTTACAATTTTTCAGTCATATGTGTAATGTAATTCCATATATATAATTATGAAAAGGCCCCAGATCTCATTCACAAAATAAACTTAGATTGGGTCTAAGTATGTGAACTCGATCCCTAACTTTAGGCTGTTTATCATCAGTCCTCTGTTTCCCCAGGAAATTGCTCTGCTTCTTGCACATACATCCCTCCTCCCTCTTCAAACTGTACCAGCTCATACCAGCTCCACTACTCTGGAAAATTTAAATATATTCATATTTTTCATTATATTCAAATTCAACAATAATTCACAAATGCTAAATTTTAAGTTATCCAACTAGAAAGACACTTAAAAACACATCTTGCCCACAGACTGGAGGCATCATTCTAGCTCAGTGGCTGATATGGATCAGATCTTAGGGATGGGGGTGTGACCTGGGGAAACACCTGGCACAGAGTTGGCCTCAATTGAGTTACAAAGTGTTAGGAGAAGACAATGTACAGGGAGTGGGAGAAAGGGAGCTACCAGCCAGGGAGCTTCATCTCTAGGTCCCTGTGTTGGCCATGAGGGGAGTGAAATCTGAGCTTTTCATTTCAAAGATAGTACAAAAAGGGCTCACTTCCGACCCTCAACGAACTATTACCAGAACTGGTTCAAGAGGCTTCATATGAATTGTAGAAATAAAACCTTATATGGCACACATGCACTTTTGCATATGACATGATTGTGGCTGTGTGCAATATCCTTGCATCAAGAGAACTCACAGAACTGGGTAGACACCAGGTACCTGGCTCTACAGACTACCAGGAGAATACTTTCCTGGATTTGGCAAGGGATTGAGCCCTTACCTCTTCCTTGCAGGAGTATACATAGTAGCTGCTTCATCTTTTCATTTGATTTGTTTTAAGATATGTTTTACAACTCCAGAAATAAACATCAAAAACTGTGGTTCTTCCAGGACAACCCCATGTTGCTAATGTTTTCTTCTCAATGGTTTAACCTACCAGGTGCTATTTATTTGAAACTTCTAAGGAGGAATTTAACTCCATCTGAGAATGCAAAAGCACAGTCATTCGAATGTGAAATATTTTATATAAGACCCATACCAGAGAGGCAGTTTGGTGTAGTAATTCAGAAAAGGAGATCAAAACTAAAAACAAACAAACAAAACCAGGAGAGAGGGAGCTATGCACAACTTGGTGGAGCCACACACAAGCCCTCTGTACTCTGCCTCCAGGCTTTGTCAAAGAAAGAAAAAGCAAACGAAACCACTGGAATGGTTATGCTTGCTTTTGCTTGTTTATGTGACTAGCAGCTAATATAATTCCAAAGATTTCACCACATACAGGGATATTCTCTACCAAATCCAGTTCAGAAAACTGGATGTGAGTTTCTGGTATTGATTCTCTGATATGATGGATTATAAATTAAGATGTTAATGATTCTTTCCAGTGGTAAAGAGGGCACTGGTCATCCATGGTGTGATGTGGCAAAAAAGATATAGAAAATGTTACGATTGGACTCCTAATCAAATGTTTATAAAAGGCAAAGTTCTGGATGACCACGATACCTTAGAATATTTTAGTCAAGAAGATGGTGACAGGTGTGGAGCGGCCATGCCAGGAGACAGTGCGACCCTGAGAAGTGTGCGCTGTGATACCAGAGTACTATTTGCATTTCCAAGAGCAACAAAAAACGAATAAATCTTTCAACAACGAACCTACAACGACAAACAAGCAACAACATGTTCGAGGTTTTAGGGCCGACACAAAAGAAGACTCCTGAGAGAGCCTAAGCCCTGCTGCGGGTTCGAGCGAGCAGCCCGAGACAACAAAGGCCAAGTAAGTCAGCAGAGA